TATGCATTTATGGGAAAGAAAATAAAATGCCAAGAAGGTACATTGAAAATAAGTTAATTTTTCAAAAGCATTCAGAATGAAACATTGTGGTAGCCTAAACTTGAATGAGCACTTAGTTATTTGATTTTGGGATTTCATTACAACTCTTTTCTTAGTGGGGCTCCTCTTCAGATAAAATCAAAGCATTTTTCCACTACTGAAGTTCCTTTCCTACATAAGGATCTGAAATCATAGAAGTCCATAATACCCACGGTATTCTGACTGAGATGCTGCCTAGAATTAAACTGGAACAATATACTTGATCAGATTAACACATGTACAAAATATTTTACAGATTACAAGGACAGCAACTTCTGAGTTTATTTAAATGACAGTTGCAATATACATGTATTTGTGCCCTGGCCTCACAAACCATTGGCATGCTCTCTCCTAAAGTATTAGTGTTAATGATTTAATTGCTATCAATACTTTTCCCTTGCCTTCTTGATTTTTTTTTCTGGTCATTACAATTATCAAAATTATCATGAAGAATGACTTGTATAGTAGCTTAGACCACCAGAGGGACATAGAGTTTTGTCCCTCATTTATATAACCTCTCTTGAGATGCCAAAAGAGAACCTTTCATAATTTGCAGGGAGAAGGAAAGAAAAATTAGGCCAAGGAATGTGAAATTTATCAGAGGTTAAAAGGAAATACAAGGTGTGGTGCCTGCTGCTTCTTTCATGTGCACCAGCAGGTGTGAAGGATGATTCCAGGATTCAGGCATGTCTTCACTGTGGAAGAAAATAGATATCCCTCAAGCAGGGCTATGCTGGAAGCACCTCAGAGTGGCTCCATACGTCAGAAGTAACAACAGATTGTCAGCTGGCTCTTGAGGACAGCCTCCTCCAGAAACTGCTGCATTGGCATCTCCTTCCCCAGCAGCTCCTTCTTCTCAGAAGGAGAATCTTCCAGCTCTGTCAGAAGTCACTGACATAAGGTCTGACTCTACCCTCACACTAGAAACTTGTTGTTACTTGGATATTAGTTCCCAGAGGAGAAACAATGTCTTCCTGCTACTCCCTGCGCTCAGCTGGGGCTGAAGATAACACTTGTTTGGACTTAGCTTTTCTGCAGTGACAGATCAGGAGAAAAGGCAGCCAAGCAAAACAGTGGAGTTGCAATTCTCAACTATTCCATTTGAGCAAGGTGGTTCCCTGGAAGCCTGTGATGAACTCTTATCCCAAATCCCCTGTAATTTTGATCAGGAGCAACTCCTGGCCCCTTGACATGTTGGGATGAGCAAGAGTCCCACAGGTCTCTCTGCAGTCCACCACATGGCTGCCCCAGCCCCAGTACCCTTCTGAAACCAATGGAGTGAATAGCCCTCACATTAAAGCAGGTCATGGTTTCTAGTAATCTGGGTAGGAAATTTGGACACATAGTCACATGTTGCTTATCAGTGCCCTCTAGACCACTTTGTATTTTTCTCTTGGTGTAAGTAAGCCTGCACACCCCCTCCTTTTCCCCTGTAACTGAGTGGCCCACCACCCCAGGCTGCAGCCCCTTGCTTACTGGAGAATGAAACCAGCTGGCTTGCTGAGGCATTTCTCAATATCCCAAACCCATCCTCCTTTCCTTTCATTGTGTCTCTACCTGTCACATTCTTTGTAGAGAAAGGAACAAATGCATTAATTAGAGAGCAGTGAGCACTCCTGCCTGAGCCCACCCCTCGATGCCTCCACGACCTCACAGAGCTTTCACTAAAACGTATAATTAGGTTCTGCAAAGTGACTTCCTGACCATATGTGCCCTTTTCAAGTGCAGAAGCACTAAGTGGTGCTGTGTATTTTTCAGAGTACCACTTCATTTTTCTGGCTTTTGTTTACAAGGTTGTATTTGCTTACCTCTTTACCAGTGCCTGAATACATCAAATTCAGATTCATTTTAAAGAATCTGAAAGCCCATGGATGATGTCACTTTCTGGCCTGAATTTTGCATGTTCTGAAAAAAGTATAAAGGCTGCGTTTACATATGAGCTTGTCCGTGCTTGTCTCCCCATCCTTACACAAAATTTGCCAGAGTATTTAAAGAAATCCCATCCCAAACAAGGGTTGTTTTAAACATGGTCTGAAGTGCTCTGCTAACAGGGTGTACTAAAGCTCATTCTGTGTCAAAGTGCTTTTGAGATAAATTACAATTTAATGTAATACCTCTTGTGAGCTTAAAGTATTTTACTTCTATTCTCATTCTCTTCAAGTGGGGTCTTCTTGTCCAGTTGTAGAATTTTTCTTTCAACCACCATTGTTTTCATGATGGAAATGAGCTGTTTAGGAGAAACATTCCTCAAAAGCATCCATACTCAAAATTGATATACCTTACTTAAGACACTTGCAACATGGAATCCCTGTAACATAAACATGTCCTCTTCACCCTGGGTATGCTTCAGCCAGGGCGGTGAGAGCTGCCCTGGTGGCCAGGGAGCCTCTCTGCCCAAGCCAGGTGACAGTGTGTCCTGCTCTGGCTATGGCTTTGTGGATTAGGGCTGAGGGTGAAGGCTGTCTGGGAGCCAGGGAAGACTTTCAGGCACAGAGTTATACCTGCACAGCTCCTGCTTTACAAGGTAGACCTGTGCACTGGCAACCTGATACATCCTTGTATCAGCCAGATCCTGCTCTGGGGGAAAAAATGGCAAGCAAGTGAGCATTTGATGATGACTTGGTCTTTTTCCTATCCCCAGTGTTAGGAGCATGTTTGTAGTATGATGATAGTTCCAAAAGGGGCCACGAGCCCCAGGCAGGCAGTGCTTTTCTTGGAAAGCAGCACTTCTGAAATGAAAAGCAGACAGGGAAAATAAAGATGGTCTAAGATGTACAAGCAAGGAGAGTTTGAAGGATCAGTGCTGCCGTCTGTTGTTCCTTTTGTCTGGGTAGTACTGGATCGTAGTCCTTGTCTCACACTGCCACACAGCCTGAAGGCTTCTAAATATCCTAGTTGGTTCAAATGACAAGCTTACAAAACACTTTTTATATGTTAATACAAAAATCCAGGATAGTGATAAATACACAGAGGTATCTAGAATGTTTCATTATATGCTTTTGATTTTTCAGCTTGCATTTAGGAGAAGAACTAAATTGCTAAACCTAAAGTAAATGTACTTAGCTACCACATCAGCAGCAGAAATTCACGCGCTCAAGGAAGAGTAAGAGGTGACACCCTGGGAGTTCTTTTCACAAAAGCATACCACTTCCTGGTTAAATCACTAGCACTGCAGATTTCATCACATAGGTGCCAAATCTCAGATCTGAACTTTCTATTTTCATGCGCTGTTTTATGAGGGATGGCCTGAACAGATCAAATTAAAAGAATGAACAATTATAAGATTGTTTGGAACCCTGTAAGTGACGGGATCCAAGGCCAGTGTGGATCTTGTGGTGTTTACAGGAAGTTCTGCCTCTGTGACGTGGTTTATCTCTCAGGAGTTGTGTCCTGTGTTATCACACCTGTCCTGTTTGCCCACTTCTCAACAGGGCTTGTTAGCCGGCTCAGTGCCTGTGTTGATACATCCATCAAAAGGAGAAGGCAGAGAGAGCTCTTTCCTGACAATGGACATACTTTGAGATAAAAAATAGGCAAGTCCTGCTGGGAGATTGTCAAGTCCCTCCAACTCAATATATAGAGTCCTATATATTCGAGGTGTCTGCATTGCCAAGAGATTCTGCTGAGTTTGATACGTTGATTTTACAGAGGAGAAATGTTGGCACAAGTAGAAGGAAATGTGGGAAAAAAGCAAGAGGAGAATCTTTAAGATGATGAACTAGCAAGAATTTCTGCTCCGACCTCCAGTGCTGTTCTTATACACCTACGTTCCCTGAAGGTGCCGTGGGGAAAGAGGGAAGCAGCTGTGACAGCAGCAACAGGCAGGGACTGTGCGTACAGCGAGGAGCTGAGCAGAGCGTGGTGAGGCTCTGTGCTCTTTTCAGACACAGCACACCATGCAGCCCATGTAAGAGTCATGCTTTTCAGGCACGCTCCTGGAAGATCTAGGCACAAGTACAAGGAGGTGGTTTGAAATTACTACATATGTCTTCTTGCAATACTTACACTCCGGGGACCACCCACGGCACAGGATGTGTTTGAATTGCTCACCAAGCTTTCTTCTGGAGCCGAGATGAAATTACAGATTCTTTTTTCCCAGAGTGCAAGAAAAATTAGCAACTTTCTGAATTACTACTATTATTACTGAGGCACTTTTTAAAAATAGGTCCTATTCTCTAAGACTTTCCAAGCACTGGGGAAAATCTTTGCATGTCTTCAACTCCTTTAGCTTCTGGTTACTTAATCTTAGATTGTAAAAAAAAAAAAGTGTGGAGGTAAAATCAGATTCCTTTTCTATGTGAACCAGCTTAATCCAGTTGGGGAAAGGATATGGGAAGGTGGGATGAAACCCTTATTAGAAAAGATGCTTTATTTTCTACATTTACATGATGGTGAAATCCTGTGGATACTCCTGTGCACCAAGAAAATATATTTTAGTTTTAATTGTTTCAGCCAATGTCATTTTTATATCAAACATGCAATAAAGTAAAAGTGGCCTTTGGGAAGCATCACTGAACCTTATTTTGTGCTGCAGTATTGCCAGTGTAAACATCTACTTCTGTTTTGTAAGCTCAAAGCCAAATGGACAAAAAATTTTCTCTCAGGGAGACTACTGACCTGTTACCATTAAATATATTATTTTTAGCATATAAACTTTCTTGCCAGTGATTGTAATAACAAAAATCTTTGCAAAATCCATTATTACTCTAAAAAACATTTTCTTTTAGGCAGCAATAGTAAGAAATTAATTCAAATGTTAGCTGATAGCAACTGGATAAGATATAAAGTGTCACAGCTACAAAGTTCCTGGGAGAAAATATATTTTCTTTCTGTTTACATTATTGAATATTTACAGTAAGTCTGAGAAAATATCCAATCTATAGCATTTTGATTAGTTATAATTCATTCTGCTTGCTTTCCAGAATGCTAGAAGATGACCTCAAGTTAAGCAGTGATGAAGAGGAGAATGACCAGGTAAGAACCAGACAAGTAACATGTCACTTGAAGCATTTTTCATGTTGAGACTGAGCTACTGCAAATATTTTGCTAATACTTTTTCTAAATATACAGAAAGGTTATCAAAATATATGGCAGTACTGTAACTGGAGCAACAGATGTTGCTCCTCAGAGCCAGCCTGCGTGTGCTAACTGCTGGATTGGTAGGGAGCAGGCTGCAGTGCTCTTGATTTATTACCTTGATGCAACCCAGAAGGTTTTTGTATCAACTTCCTTCTGATTTGAATTTGTTTTGTTTTAAAGAGTGGCCGAGGAGGGGAGAAACAGGAATTCTGGATTAAGGGTTCAGGCCAACTTTGCAATCATGAGCTGGCCCTGGGGATTAGCTGCTGGGCTGCTTATCTCTTACCTGCCTCCGGCATCCCCCCAGCCCTGGCCTCTCCTCTGAACATTTTTGGTCCTGACTCTGCATGGCCCATGCCTGCTAAAAAACTAAAGAAAACTGAGAAAAAGCCTTGGCTGTGCATTTGATTCACTCCATAACAAAGTGATTACAGCAGCTCTGTTTTAAACACCCTAAACTACATGACTGGCAGCAGATACACCATCCAATGTTTTCCATGTGACAGGGGAGCTGGGTTTTGTTGGCTGTAGGACTGTCTCCCAGTTTTTCCTTAAAATATTGTAGTGTTTTGTCTAAATAGTTAATGACTCAGTAGAATAGGGCTGGAGCTTGACTTTCCCATGACCAGCTGATTGCCTTGTTGCCAAGCAGTGCTATGCTGTGTTCTCTCATTCTCAGTATCCTGGCTTGGATGATTTGGTTGGGAATAAGAGGCCGAGACCCCCTTCCCTTCCTTCTTTCCTTAAAATGCACGACCCATGCCTTCACCAGAGTATATGAGGGTAATACTGCTCCTGGTTGCATCTCACAGATATGTGGTTTTCTCTCCTGGTTTGGCTGGGATAGAGTCAGTTTTCTTCCTAGTAGCTGCTACAGTGCTGTGGTTTGATTCAGTGTGAGTATGGCATTAATAAGTCCCTGATGTCTCAGTTGTTGCTCAACTTACCTCAAGTCAAAGACTTCTCAGTGCCTCCTGCTCCACCAGCAAGCAGGTGCACCAAAAGCTGGAGCAGCCCATGGCCAGGACAGCTGCCCCAAACTGGCCAAAGGGGTTTTTCTTCCACAGAACACCATTTCCAGTACATAAACTGGGGGAAGTTTGCTGGGAGGTGCCAAACACTGCTTGGAAATGGGATGGGCATCAGTCAGTGGATGCTGAGCAATTGTATTTTGCATCACTTGTCCTTCTTTGGAACTTATTTCTGTCTTTTTGTTGTCTCCCTTTTCATTGCAATTCTTTTTCTTACAATATTATTATTTTATTTCTTTTATTTCAACTGTTAAACGGCTCTTATATCTACTTATGAACTACTTTTTTTCCCCTGCCTCTCCTTCCCCTCCCACTGGGGCAAGGGGAGTGGGCAAGCAGCTGCATAGTACTGTTGCTGGCTGGGGCAAAGCCATGTGAGCTTCAAATGTGATTATTTCAGTCATGGGTAACTGGAGTACCTAGATGAGCAGGCTGGATGGATATCTAGAGGTTGCAGAAGATAGATAAACATGATTATCCATAAATAATACAGCCAGGATGAGAACAGTTCTCCCAGCTAGCCGGACAACGCCCCTGCCTACAGATGGGTCCTGGGGTCACGTGGACTGTTCCATCTCACCCCCCAAAAGATGTACAGCTCACCATGTACCTCTGTCCCTCCCCTAAAACATCAAGTGCCTGTAACCCCATTGGCCCAAGCCTTGTTCCAGCCCACCTTGAATTTCCTTGAAAAGGGGGCTTCGAGGGGCCACGCAGTCTCTTGGAACTCCCTCCCCTCTCCTGGAATTTCCCCTCTCCTTGAGCATCCTTTTGTCTCTTCCCTCCCCCACCTCTTTAAGCCTCACCACGTGCTGCATCTGGCAGCTTGAGGCAGGACCTTTCTCCATCCCCAATAAACCTCATTCCCCAAGAGCAACCTTCAGAGATCTCTTGCCTCAATCCACCTACACTGTCCTGGAGCTGGCAGCAATATTCCACATCTAGACTTTTGAAATTCAGGAACTTAGACAAATAATTCTAGGTTAATAGGATAGGCATGATTTTCTTTAACTCTTTTTATTAGATGTCCCTATTTTACAATATATTCCAAACAACAGGTAAATCAAAACTTTTTAATATTTATACTAAACCATTGTTTTATCTATTTTGAGCAGAGCTTCTTGGTGTTAAGATTCAAGACATAGATTCTATTATTTACATATTTATTCAATTTCTTTCTGTTTAACATATTTCATCCTGAAACACTTCACATTTAATTACTCTTCCTGCTTGTCTAGATAGTTTAAAATATAGCTCACAGACAGCATAGGACAAAGTAAAGAAAGGGATGGAAGGGATGTCTGAAGAGGAGCAAAAGCAGACCAAGATGCCATGATATTGCAGCCAGGGGCTTGGTGATAGGGGAGGCACAAGCTGCTGACCAGGAGAGATGTCCTTCAGGCAGGGGGACAGAATCCTGAGTAATGGATGTTAGAGCGAAACAGGCTGGGAGACCCAGAGACAAAAAATTCTGACTTGCTTCATAGCAAGAAGAAAAGGACATGTGAAGGTATTTATTGTGCATAAAGAACATAAGTAGCTTAGGCAGAGAAGGGATTGTGGAAAAGTCCTGCCAATCGAGAAGACACACATGGACCTCTGGTTTAGCACTGACTTGTAACTATTAACACCTTCTGTGTGTTCATGTGCTGTGCCAGGTCTCTGCTCAGTCACAGGGCTCCAAGATGCAGCTGATACAGGCTGGGTCCTTCACCTCGGAACTCCAGCAAGCTCTGCAGAGCCAGGACAGAGCTCACCACCCACGCAGCAAAGAGCAGGGCTGAGATCCCATGACTCACTTCTAATCATCACAGGCCCTAGCATGAACAGACTTTGGAAATTACTTATTTATTTGATCCCCTTTCCTCGTCACAATTTTTTTCCTAACTTGGCTATACAGACAAAAATCTCCCAGAGGCATAGTCTGGCTCCTGCTGTATGAAATGCTTTGTAGAGCCTTAGCTGAGACCCCTAGGTTTGCTTAATGAACAATCCTAAATAAATATACCTGCTGAAAAAACAAAACACTACCTTTCCATCCACCTTGCAGGAAATAGACAAAAAAAGAGTAACACAGACTCTCTCTTCCAATAACTGCTCAGATGGCACTGTGTTTAAATGTCAGCAGAACTCGTTTCCTTTTACTTCCTAACTCAGATGCTCTTTAATCTCATCTTTCCTGAGCTCAGAAACGGGAAAGGAAAAAAAATTTAAAAATCAGAGATTAATAGATAGGAGCAGTACATGAGAGATTCCCAGATATTCCTCATGTAATAAATTAACCTTTGAGCAGTTAGACTCATTCAGGAAGTCCAGCTCCTCAAAGAGCTGAAGGTGAGCTATACACAAGCTGGCAAGATTTTAATTTTGATGATTTCTAAATGGGGAAGTTTAGAGGAAAAACTTTGAAAACTTTGGAGGAGATTTTGCATTTAAGTCTGAAATTGCCAAGCAGAAAACGGGAAGTTGTGCAAAGGGGGACAGGTGCTTCTGTGCTCCCAGGGCTGTGACCAAACCAAGGAATGTGAGCCATGGGTGAGGGACGCCAAATGCAAGACTGAGGCATGATTAAAAGCTTTGAGACTGCAGTGAGCAAAGCATTCCCAACCCTTCCCTCAACACCAGCAATTAAGGTAGTGAGATTCACAGACCCATGAGAAGCCAAAGAGGCTGGCTTTCAGCTGAGTACATGTGCACCCACAGTAATTATATTATCCACACATATTAGTCTCATAATTTTAATTACATAAATGTATTTTTCCTCTTTAATGAGCATAGTTTATCCATTTAAACTGATCGTTTCAATTTTACAGGCAATGATCATAGGATCTAATATGCAAAGAGAAAATTTCCTGTTGGCATATTTTACACCACACAGATTGAAGAAAATATACTTTTTAATCCTCAATCAATATCTGAAGAGCATGCAATTAGCAGATACCAAGGTAGTTAACATAAATCTGCAAGTTAAAGATCCAATTCATTCTGATTTATAACACATAGAGTAATAATTTCATCATCATCTCTCCCAGAAAGCATCTGAAGCTTTGTAGCATGAAGATGTCAAAATTGTACTTAAGATTGTTCAGACTACTGAATTGTAGTGGTTATTGCCTTTTGGTTCTTTGAAGTGTGGCACAGCACATGAAACAGTCCCCATTATAATACCCTGCTCTTCTCCATAGAGGTCACTGGATAACTTAAATCAGTCTTGGGTGAAATATTAAAAGGAGATTGTCAATTGTAATGTGAACAATTCTTTTTTCCCCCCCTCACTTGTCCTTTTACAACATGAACATTTTGTAATAGAAAATAATTCCTTTAAGGGGAGAAAGATCCCTGGCATCATTTGTGCAATTCATGTCAATCAATAGCCAAATAAATTAACCGACTGGTACACATACATGGAATAATAATCTAACATATTTTTGCAACCCAAGTCTGCTTCCTCATATGCATTTTTTTTTGCACAGGATCAGGTTGGTTGCCGCTGAAGTTTTGTGGCTGTGAAAATTTATTACCCACAGAGTCAATCTGCATTCTGGCTGCCAAGTCTGAATAAATAGAGTCATTGTACTTGTCTGGAATATGTAACCAAAGTTCATCGAGTCAGCTTGACTTTCACATCCCATGAGGTTCATAAAAGCCAACACCCTGGTATGTGCTCTTGATTCCTGCCAAAATTTTCTAAAATTGTATAAACAGAAGTTGAAGAAGCAATCAGAACACACTCCCAGGGACATGGCTCTGCACTGTAGACCTGGCTGATCTCAAAAGGAAAGACACAAGATTTTTCTTTTCAAATAAAAAAATAATATGACTATTCTCCTGAGGTGGCAAATAACCACAGGGGCTCAAGATGCC